TGTTAGATTACTTAATTTTTACTTACCTTCTGAGAAGAAGAATGTGTCGATTTAATCAGATTGGCCAGTTTCCAAGTTTTATAGGTATGGGATGTTCTTCTGGTGAACCGGTTCTGTCCAGGCACCGAACGAGGCTTGTTTCCTATGACGTAGGCCTTCCCGCTGGACTTGTGCACAGACAGCTTCTGCACCAGCCGGCAGCCGGCTGTGGAGGCCAGGCTGCGGCAGATTCACAGCGCGCCCGTGGATAGCCTGCGGGCCTGGGTGGCAGCCGCGTGGCAGGCCCAGCAGGGCAGGGTGGCTTCCCTCGTGAGCTGGGATCGCTTTGCTTCTCTTCAGCAAGCTCAGGTGAAACCCTGTGGCGGGAGTTGGTCAGAAAGCAACACCTTCTGGTGCTGGGTGTGCTTTTGGCACGATCTGTGTACGTGTGTGTGCGTGTGTGTATATGCACATGTATTTCTGTATGTGATGGTGCTATGCATACATTTATGTAGGTGATAGTCCCCTAGTCCGGATGCCACTGTTACCGGTGGGACCAGGTCAGGGCACAAAATAAGCCCAGGGATGCCTTCTTCCCCTTAGTTGACAGCTTCTCTTTGCCTGACCTGTGAGCCTCAGCAGGAAGGATGCTGTTCCTGTCCCTGCAACTACTGGTCTTCATCACTGTCCTTTTCCTGAGGATTTAGCCCAAATTTCCTCTTCCTCAGCTGTTCCCCAGGGCTTTGCCGACTAGATAGGAGTCTGAGCAAAGGAAACCTGATTTCCCAGAGCTTGCAGGTGGGCATTTTGGCTGGTGGCTCAGTGGCCCTGTGGCCCAAGCATTAGAATGACCCCTGGCGTCCTTGGAACCCATTTCTGTGGAATTACACTTTTCTGTGTCTCGTGGTCAGTGAAAGTATTGCAGGATCTCTGTCGTAAGGCATGGCTAACCAGCCCTGTGTTTTGGGTTCAGGATCTTGTTTCCTGCTTGGGCGGTCCCATCCTCAGTGGCGTGTGCCGGCGCCTGGCTGCGGACTTCCGACACTGCCGAGGGGGCCTCCCTGACCTGGTGGTGTGGGACTCCCGGAGTCGTCGCTGTAAGGTCAGTTGTGCCAGAATGGAAAGTTTCATTAGCAACTTAATCAAAGGCTCCGATCTAGGCATTTCTTGCATGATTGTTGGCAAGATTGAATACCTCGAAAGCTGTGGGACCAAGGGCCATGGTTCCCCGGTGGCTATTGGTGGGGCCCTCCCCCGCAGCCCCTGGCGTGGGGGCCTCTCCTCTCCGCCGTGCAGCGCACCACTTGGCTCATTCATCAGAGCAGGCCGCTGAGAAGAGCCAGAGTGTGAGCAAGACGGGAGTCAGTCTCCTATAACTTGATTGCGGAAGGGATGTTCCGTCACTTTGGCCGTATTATTCTGTTAGAAGCAAGTCACAGATTCCAGTGTGCATGCCCCCCCCCCCCCCCGCAAGGGAAGGGATTCTGCAGGTGTGAACACCAGGAGGCTGAGATGACGGGGAGCCGTTCTCTAAGCTCCCCAGGAGTGAGCTCCTCGTCACGTGTTCTTGGGTCAGGGCCACCTTGCCTCACCCTGGTCTTCCCCTGCTGCCCATCCCAGGTTGGTTTTTGTTACTGAGTTGTGAGATTAAAAAATTCTGGATACAAGCCCTGTATCAAGTATATTTCATCCCAGCTGTGGCTTTTCATTCTCATAATAGTGTCTTTTGAAGAGCAGAAATTTTTATTTTGGCCAAGTCCCAACTTCTCTGTTCTTTAATGGATCATACTTTTGGGGTCATGGGACATCTCGGACTGGAACTGTGGATTTGTGTATTTCTCCTTGCAGTTCTATCCAGTTTGCTTCATATATTTTGAAGCTCTGTGATTAGATGTATAAACTTGAAGGCCTGTCACATCCTCTTGATTAGTTGATCTCTTCATCCTTTATTTCTGGTAGTGTTCTCCATTCTGAAATCAACTGATATTAATAAATAGCCACTCCAACTTTCTTTTGATTAGTGCTAACAGGACATATCTTTTTCTCTTACTTTTAACTTATTTCATCTTTAATGGGTTTCTCGTAGGCAGCATTATAGCTGGGTCTGACTTTTTAATTCAGTTTGACAACCTCTTGCCATTTAATTAGGTATTTGGACCATTTACATTTGATGTGATTATTGATGACTGGCTTAAAAGCTACCATCCTGATACTTGTTTACTGTTTGTCTTAGCTGTCTTGTTCTCCTTTCCTCAACTTTTTCTACCCTTTGTTTTTTTAAAGATTCTATTTCTAGTCCTTTGTTGGCTTGTTAGCTATGATTCTTGTAAGTGGTTGCTCCAGTGTAGATCTTAAGCTTCCTGTCTTTCAAGTGATGTTATGCTATTCCATGCATAGTATAAAGAACATGTTTTTGTATCTCCTCTCTTGGCCTTTGTACTGTTCATACATCATTTTTCTACATGTTCTAAACTCTACATTTTTTTGCTTTCTACAGTTGATTTAAGAATCTTTATAATTACTCACATAGATACAAATTATTTTTTCTCCCCTAGATACAAATTCTTTTTTTTCCAAAGATTGATTTGAGAGAGAGAGAACACGGGCAGGGGGAGAGGTAGAGGAAGAGGGAGAGGGAGGGAGAGAATCCTCAAGCCTCTGCTGAGCCCGGAGCCCGACGCAGGGCTTGATCCCAGGACCCTGAGATCATGACCTGAGCCAAAATCAAGAGTCGGATGCTCAACTGACTGAGCCATCCAGGTGTCCCCCTGGATAGAAATTTTTACTGCTTGTTATTCCTTTGTAAAGACCCAGATTTCCACGTACCGTAGTCCTCTGCTTAAAGAACTTTAACACTTCTTGAAATGGAGGCCTGCTAGTAATGAATAATTTAGGTTTTCTATGTCTAAGTCTTCATTTCATCTTTGCTTTTGAAAGATATTTTCTCTGAGGAAAAAATTCTATGTTGAGAGTTTTTTTTCTTACAGTAATTTGAAATACTGGTCCATTGACCTCTAGCGTGCATTGTTTTTTAATGATAAATGTGTAGTCTCTCCCTTTAGGCTTTAAAAAATTCTAGCTGCTTTTAGAATATTCCCTTTATCACCAGTTATGCAACTTAATTATGTTTCTTTGTGTAGTGTTATATTTCTTTGCCTGGGGTTCATTGATCTTTGGGTTTATAGTTTCTATCAAATTTGGAAAATCTGGATAGTTTTTATGGCTGTTTTGAAGTTCAGTAATCTGCAGTGAATAAAACTGACACAGTTCCTGCCTTCATGGAGCTGATACGTAATCAACAGTTTTGTCTTCTGATAAATGCCGTGGAGGAAGTGCATAGAAGGACCCTGCTTAGAGATGTGCTGGACCTCTAGGAGGTGAATTTAAGCTGAGCATTGAAGGGTAAGACGTCAGATGTGTGAAGAACAGGAAGAAATGTCCTGGGCAGAGGGAACAGCAAGCATATGGAAGGGCCCTTCGGTTGGGAAGAGGTTAGTCTTTCTCAGGAACTTTGGAGTGGTTGGCAGGGTCCAGATCATAGTTTTGTAAGTCATGGCAAAAGCTTGGATTTAACTGCAAATATAACAGAAAGTAATCAGAGGGTTTTAAGCAGGGGAGCAACAATCTAGTGCATGCTTTAAAACTATTTTTCAAATGTATATTCAGAAACAATTTACTAATTCTCTGAAGAACTGCCTACTTTCTACAGAATAACTCTCAAGTGAATTTCGTACATGTATCTTTGTTTTATATATGTAAATAGAGCAATGTAAGTGAAAACTACTGTAGCATACTTGGCTATTCTGTTTCAGTAAGATACTAATAACTAACTTTCTTAAAACTTATATTCCAGCTGGTCGAAGTTAAAGGCCCCAATGATCGTCTTTCACATAAGCAAATGCTCTGGTTGGACGAACTGCAGAAGTTGGGGGCCGACGTAGAAGTCTGCCGCGTGGTTGCTGTTGGAGCTAAGAGCAAAAGCCTCACCTAACAGCTGTTGAGTTGGGGGTGTCTGGTGACACATGGATTGATTTTCAAAAGCATAAAGCATCATTACATTTTATTTAACTTTGTTATGTCAGTAATAAACCTGAGAGTTTAAGATTCATCATTGTACAGTGTCTGTGTGTCATAAAACTTGGTCTTGGCTTGAATGTACTCATTGATTCCACATAGGTAATGAGCTTTCTAGAAGGTTAGAACCTTGGTGGCCATTTTAGGAAATGGATGCATCTATGTTACTAAGCTACACTTGCAGAACAGCTGGAAAAAATCCCAATGGGATGTTTCACAGCTTTCGGTCTTTTATGAAAGTAGCATACCCAATGTCTCTGGTAAGTATACTGGAGAGACCTGTATTTAAGGTTTTCTAGACTGCTCTGATATACTCAGCTGTTAAACATTCTTGTTTTAGGATTATCTAAGAAGGACACAAACAGATGAAATTCTTTCTCTGGGAATTAAAAATAAATTCTCATTAAATTCCTTAACAACTTTTAACTTGCCCTTACTAATTGGGCCTAGATCGTCAAAGGAATGAACAGTCTTTATCAAAGGCAACTGTCCCTTTTCACCCTTAGCTAACCTCCCTTATGACCAGAGGGGCAATTTTCTGTATAGACGGCGTAACTGCAACAGGGCTGTTCATGAGAGCCCTAGGCTGAGGAAGGTATATGGTAGGAAGGCAACTAACCAGAACTGTAGGGCCAGGAGTCCGGGATGGGGACCCCGGTCTCCCCACAGACTAGTTCGGAGACCTTCTTAGGGGAATGTTACTCCCCAGCTTGGTGATTTATTGAACAGAAGGACAGGTTAGGGTATGATCCACTAATACCCACATGGCCTTAACTACAGCCAGTTCTGAATCGATGTTAAAAATGTTACCGATCACGATCTTGCTTCAGAGGAGGCAGAAAACCTGAGTGGATGACACCCACACAAGTATAGTTGGAAGAAAACGCCTTCACTTCTTGAATCACTACGTTCTCGTAGATGATTTCATACTGATAACTACAACCACCAATTTCTGTGGGAATTTTATTTAGCAGTCAAAATTTCCTTCACATTCATCACCGTTGAACAGGCTCTCTCACCTTCCTGCTCATCCTACTTTAATCGAAGTCCATCAATTTTAGGCACAAAGGTTTTTAGTTTTCTCTCAAAATCAAGTTCTAACTACTTGAGGTTACTGCTACGGCAAGCAGGTTTCGTTGAAGGTACGTTGACTAATTTTCCCCGTTAGCACAAATTAATACACTTTTCTTAAATAAAGTTAAAAGACATTTTTGGTTTTAGAACCGGTTTCCATCATAAAATAACAGGAAGACATTGTACATTTTTGCCAGTACTAGGAAGTCCCAAGCTGTCTGGGGCCCGTGCGGCATGCCGTCGGCGCGAAGCTGGCTCGCGGGGCAGCGGGGCCGGGGTGTGAGGCGCTCTTTGGCGTGGCGTCCGTTCCCGCACGCAGGCCTTCAGTCGGCCCCTCACCCTTCCTGCCAGCAGGGGTGTCAGGAAGCTTTACGACGGCTGGGACTCGACGCCGTTACAGCTGTTCTTCATATTATGCACGATAAACTGTGGCACGATAATCATGATATAACAGCTGTCCAGCAAAAATAAAATGAAAAACTGTATTTTACTACATCTGATTACCATACAAAAATATGCACATTTTCTATTTTAAAACAGTATTAACAGTACCTAATCTTCTTTAAACTCGTAAATTAACAAAAAAATTGCTCAAGGAGTTGAGATAAATGTGAGGAAAGAGAAGTATAGAGAGATAAATGCTCAACAATCCCTCTCCAAAACCCCCCAGTTTAGAATAATTTGTAATAATAAAAAGGCAGCTTAATCAAAAAGGGAGAATTATTACACTTTCCGTGGCAGGATATGCTGTGGGATTTTAAAGGGATTGGGACTGGTTTCCAATCAAGGACTATAAAATGTTTAATGCCAACAGTGCTACTGAAAAAAGCCCTGATTTTCTAGGCAAAGTTGGCAAAAACACTGGGCTTATCCACAAGATGAATTTCCTAAGACATTTTATAAGAACTTCTGTCCTTGAAGGCCAGAGACGTCAATCTTAAAAAGGCGAATAATTCAAACAGAAACAGCTATTCATGACACCTAACAGTAAAACAGTGCTCTGAAAAAACTTTTAGAAAAGATTAACCACTTCACTGCAAAACTCTTGTAAAGCTTAAGATGGCAGTTTAATTAAGAAACTCTAAACAACAGCCCAATTTGAAAACATCCACCCTGTCAACAGGGCCTGGGGTGCGCACCGGAGGGAGGGGTGAAGGCCATCGCCGTGAGGAGCTTCGGCTTGGCCCCCCCAGCGCTGGCTGGGTTCCGGTCCCACGGTCTGACCCACACACACCTCTGTGTGCTTCTCCCTCTCCATACGGCTGGCAGAGGCCGGGGGGGGGGGGGGCTTCTCTCCACATGAAAATGGCAGTCTTTTGAGAGAGGTACACTTTCATTTCTCCTGTTGGCTCTACCGGGCCACCAGGCACTTTGTCGGTGGGAGGAGGGCCTTCCGCACAGGTGAGCGGACTCATGGCCTCCTTAGTGATTCCCAAGGGCAAGTGTCCGCAACGGTTCACCACACTGGACATAGACGGGAAACGCCCCAAACGCCTCGGAGCAAGACCGCTCTTTCTGAGGGTGGGTTTCGGCGGACAGCACTCTCCCCCCTGCTGCTGTCCCACCAACACGGACCTCCCCACACGCCCGCTGTGTCCTCGCTGACTTTCAGAGGGAAGGCAATGTGGCTTTGGGGACTCCTGGCCATTGGTAGGAAGCTCCGAGGTGAAAAGCCTGTTTTCCAATATGCGGGCTTTTAACACCCTTATTTTAAAAACTGAAATTGTGTTTTACTTTGCGTTAATGCGTACCTTAATTAATATTAATGTCAAAGGCACTTCTAAGTTGGTATTATCTACAGCAAATGCTTTCAAAGTCAACCGTGCATATTAGTCCTATGAAGGTAAAAGCAAACTCAGGATTTTAAAACACAGTGATCTACGGTCCCCAACAAGGTGATCTACAATAAATTATGGCCTTGGAAATACTGAACCCTCAGGGGATTTAGAGAGACCGGAAAGTGACCGGAAAAATATATGAATACCTCCTACCGCCTGTGGGGGGCGCTTACCGGATGCATCTTGAAAATCTACTAAACATTAATTTCTTAACTTTCCTGTTAACTGGTTTGCTCACAGTAGTTAAGAGAGGGGGAAGGTCTGCCTCCAGATCACCTACAACTGGGCCAGACCTGCAATGGCAAAAAGAGGCCATCAAAAAGAAAAGTTCTGCCTGTTTTTTTTAAAAAAAAAATTACAAAGGAAGCATAATTCAACAGGTTTTCAAATATTAGTGCAAATTTCAACTGTTATTCTGACATAGAAAATTCTTAGAGCCTCAAATGCCTAGGTTAGCAATTTTAATTCAGCGGAGAAGTTTGTGGCTTCCCTCAAGACGTTCAGAAAATAGTACGTTTCAGTCTTCATTTACTAGTGTCTCAGTAGATAACCATATCTTGGCCCCACTTAAAAATTTGCTTAATGGTGTTCCTGAAATGCTTCGCCTGCAGAGGTTGCCTACGGGCGAGAAGGGAAAGGAGGAAGAGAGGAACTCCGGCGTCCCCGAGGCGTCGTGCGGGCCGCTGGCCCGGAAGTACATCCTGCTCTTGTCCAGCCCCGAATCGCAGGCTTCCAGGGGGCCGGCCCGGGGCTGCCGCAGCGTCCTGCTGAGCACGTCCACCTCGTCGGCCAGCAGGGAGAGCTTGTGAAAGGCGGTGATGAAGCCGCCGAGCTTGATCTGGGCCTCAGGCAGCCAGCGGAAGTAGCAGAGTTTCCAGAGTTTGACGCGCGGCCCGGAGAGGTGCGGCAGAATGACGCCGTGCAGGTCGGCCGGTTTGGAAAACCACTCTGTCAAGTAGCGCTCCATCCCGCTCTTCCGGCCGTCGGGGTGCTGAGGAGGCTCGGGCTTTGCTTTTAGTATCAAGGAATTTCTCCTGGGAACTAAGTCTTGGTCGCCAAGGACTCCGTTCTTGAAGGCAGCCGGCATGCCTCTCAGCGTGGAGCTGTAGCTTTTCTGGGGGGAAACAGAGGGTTTAGCATTCTCTCTCCGGAGCGCCCCGTTTTGGGAAGATGGTAAAGGGGCAGTGGCAAACGGAAGCCTAGTGCGATGAAAAACGGAACACTCTGCTCCTTCCCTTGTAACGCCCCTCCCCCTCCTCCTCCCCTGGAGTTCCAGTCTCTAGGAACCGACTCCAGCTATTAGCCTCGGCCTGCGTCGGGGTGCGGAAGGGATCCCTGCTGTTCAGTGATTTGCTTATGTGCAAATTTCTAAGACTTTCGGGTTAAGAAAAAATGTAGACCTGGCTCCTTCTAGAAAGAAGAGGCGAGTGGATGGGGTTTCAGGAACGGGGCCTTCCAGGCTCAGAGCTCCTATCGGCCAAATCCTAGAGGCTGAGCGAGCTCTGTGGCCTCGGTCACCAAGAAGAGAAGGCAGGGCAGGGTCATTTCAGTGACAAAGCAAATGATCCCTCAAAATCTGCACCAGCCGTGCTGTCAAGGGAAGTGACTTGGCTCTTAATACTCAGTGTTCTGAAAATACGCCTTGTGTGAGGTGTGAGCAGATACCAGGTTTTTAGCGCCGGTGCATTTCTGTAATTTACCTTTGTCCGTTTGAAAGATTTCACAGAACCATTCTGTACGCAAGGCGTGCTCTTTCCGATGTACAAGGGGTTATGGAAAAGGGTGCGGTCCTTCGCTGTAAACTGAAGAGACCAGTCCCAAACCGAGGGGAATTTTAAACCCTTTTCACCACCCAACTGGATATTCTTGCTGATAGCAAATTCCTGCAAAATAAAATATTTGAACATCTGTGAAAAGATGCCAAATGAAAGAGTTTAAGTACCTTCCCTTTTTTGGGACGAGCCATTTATCACTATTTAAGTTGAATTTCTGGACTGCAGCAACTCTAACCCCCGAGAGCAGCATGTTTTGCTTTGAGAGAAGAGACGTTCTCGGCACCACGATCAGAAGGACACCCCCCACGCTGTGTGAGCGAGGAGAGGGCGTTTTCTTCTGGAAGAAGGAAACTGGGTCCTCCGAGCAATGAGTACATCGTGACAACGCAGTTACTTCTGTACTTGGCGCATTTTACTTTCTGAGCACATGATCGATCGCACACTTACGCATTTACCCGCGGGGCATAAAACATGGCGAATGGACATGCAGGACAATCTTCGGATGGCAATCACTGCCGTCCATTTTACCCCGTTTTTCCAAGTGGACAGCCACCCTTCACTTCCTTCGATATCTGAACCACAGCCCAGGGGCAGGGAGGAGGGAATCCGCCCCCCACCGTGCACAGTCCCGGCATCTGGCCAAGCCCACGAAGACCATGCTCGTGGGCCGGGCCCCCTGCTCCCCGGAGCCCACCTCCAGCCCGCTCTGGGCTCAGGTGGCCCGGTTAGCCAGCGGCACAATGCTGCGAGGTGGCAGCCCACTGCTTCCGTGGGGAGGAGGTGAGGAGCATCTCAAACCATGACCCTCATCTCGGCGAGTGACACAAGCAGGTGTATGAAGATTATTAGCTCTCCAGAGGAAATCTCTCAAGATACCGATTTTCTGGATGGTGGGAGATGATGGGTTCTTATTTCCTGCTTTGTACCTTTCAGTATTCTCCAAAAACACACGAATTTCTTTGGAAATTAGAAAAAAAGGCAAAGACTGTCATCAGAAAAGCAGCGCTGCAGTGAGGAGGCCGGCTCCCCACCACAGCTGTGACCAGGTGTGACCCACGCCGCCAGGACGGCTCGGGACCAGCAGGGAACAGGGAGGCTAGCTAACAGCAGAGGGCAGTTTACAACACTGTCTACTGCAAATGAGTAAAACTGAACTCAATAAGCACGAAATATATTAAAAAAAACTTTTTTTTAGTTATTTGAGATTTCATTATATATGTGCATGTAGAAACAACCCATTTGCTTTAAAAAAAAATAGTATTGTTAAGAGCTGAAATCTAGTAAAACATAAACCCCAATCTATTTTAATGGCCCTTGGGAAAATATGCAGAAATCAGTTATCTTTTTGTTTTGTTTTTCAATGTGAAAACTAAAAATATCTCCGAGGAAGAAGATCAGATTTTCCACAAACAGCACCTGACCATGAGTATCTAAGGTGGCCTCAGAATGGAGGAAAGAAGGAAACGTCTTTGTGGAAGGGACTGAGAACAGTGGTCATGATAAAAATCAGGACAGTCTCTCAGGGAGGGCAGGGGAGGCACTAACGGCCTCCAGTCTGGCTGTTACATCAAATCATGAATATGAAGTGCCAAGGGAGGGAGGGATCCAATGTTAGTGCTTGCCAGAAAAAGCTTTTGAAAAAAGCCAAGTTAAAAAAATACAGCACGGAAACACAGACCAGGAAAAACAGATGATACACTTTAAAAAAATATTTGTTAACTTTTATCCCTGTAGAGAAGTCTATTTGTAAACATACGTTGGCACATCCAGAATCCAGCCAAGAAGTGGGGTGAGGAGTGAGTGTCTCCAGGAGGCCAACCTGGGCTCCACAGAGACCGCCCCCTGCCCCAGCACCCGTGCAAGGCACTGCAGTCACTGGGACCGCCAGGCTGCTGGGCTGGCATTTTACATCTAAGATAAAACCTTAGAGGTTTTCTCTTAGATCAACTGGTTTATTATGAACAATGTACATCAGAGAAAAATACCTGAAGTGCTCACTCATAAAAATGAAACAGGTTCCCAGATTTTTTTTTATGTCTTTAAATAATTCATTCAGAAATTGCAGCTTAAAATGGCAGCTAAGACAGTTTTAATTTACATATTTTAAATATGCAGCTAAGTGTACTTTCATTCTACCTCAGTAAAGCTGGGTAAGACGACCAGAGAAGTCGCTACCGCCACAACCCCGCTTACCGTGCTTTGTTTCACCCGCTGGTGAGGAGAGTTGAAGAGGAAGGTGCCAAAGAGGGGGATGCGGGTGCTGTCGTACAGCACTGCTAAGTACGTCTCCGAGAACTCGAAGGCCGCCGGGTACTGTTCCAGGAGCTGCCACGTGGCATCCAGGAAGAGCAAAAATAAGGGAGACTGGCAGACACAGACAGAAAATGGGAACATTTAATGTTGTCCTTCAGTTGTTCCCATTTACTTCCAAATTCATGGCTCATGTTAAGGAAGAGACTACTAGGAAAATATCGTAGCTAAAACACTTGGCTCCTAACCCGAGCCAAGGATATGCGGACAGATTAAACACGGCTTATGTCAAAGCTCAGAAGTACGTCCAACGGCCATGAACATCACAGCCCTTGCTTGCCGAAGAAGCCCATCAAGTTGAAATGGCAACATCAACAGGCAGGTGTCACTGTATGAACGGGGGACACTAAAAGATGTGACTAAGTCTGTCCTGGAAATAATTCTTTAGAACACGGAAAAAAAGAAAAAAATAATCCCAAAGCAAAAAACGACTTCTGTAATTCACTTCTGGTGGACCGTGCAGGCTCAGCATCCAGAAAACTCCCCAGAGTTTCAGGAAGCGGTTGGCATTAGCCTCTAGGTCACATGGTGGATTCCCAAGTACAGCAGCTGATGACAGTGACTGTATCTTGGGAATCCCGGCAATTTAAAAGTGAAGTAGTCACTGCTGAGATTTCCTCAGATGGTGCGGCTTGTTGTTAAACGTGAGACCCTACGAGTCAGACTGTGCCCTCTGAGACAAGCACGTCCGGGAGAGGCTTGTTCACAGCTTCCTCACCTCTGCACCCAAGGTGGCCACTATACCCACAGTGGGGGGTTACAAAGACATCTCTCTCCAACTCTGCATTCTCCACATGTGCCCCATTTTAAGAAAATGTCATATTCCAAAACTGATTTTTCAAAATACCTAATGTGCTTGTTATCTGCTTTGCAGAAGAGATAATACAGCATTTTTCAACTAGTTTTCAACTTGGAGAAATGCAACAATTTTTTTTTTTGAATTTTACCTATATAGTTACAATCATCTTCGTAAGTGCATCAATTTGGATGCTAATCCATCGTTAGTCTTAGACTAAAGAAGCTAAGGGGTACCAAATGCAATATTTAAAAAGGCTCCTCGTCTCTTTACAGACAGAACACCTCTTCACACAATGACATGAGTTTTATCTTGTGCACACCTAAAGGCTCCCTCCCAATGAGCATTACGATTCCCTTACCTCTTTCTCGGATCTCTTTAAGTGGTTGCATCTGTCTAGGAACTGATACCCGGCCATGACCCACTCCTTCTGGATCAGACTCTGAAATCCTGTAATTGTCCTAAAATGGGGATCCAGCATCACTTGAACAAGAGAAGCTACAATACAGCTCAAGTCTCTTCCCTCCTCCTCTGTCAAGAAAATGGAAAGAAAATGACTACTACAGAGAAAAATTCTGAGACAAAGGGTAAAGTGGGTAATACAGTACTCTGTGCTTAGGCTCCTTCAAAATAATCCAAGTTAGGAAAGTTCACTGGATTCCAGCAACTATGAAACACTACAGACTTTCAGATCAATTAGTGTTTAATGGGAGATAGTCTTTTATACATGAATGTTTTCCAGAAAATAGAGCAGAGCCCTCACACTTTTTACATTTCAGGGGTTTGTGGTAGAACTCTTTCCTGAGTCCATTCTACTTCTGTTTCCTAAGAGTATGAAATATAACGTAATCTTTCTACTGGCAACTCCACATGGTGACTCAGAAGTGAATGAGGGGGATAGGACTGCCCACCATCATCTGAAAAGGTGGCAAACATTTTCCTCCCATCTTTTATAGCTGATGTCCTTTTCAATAATGCCAGTAAATATCCTGGTATCAAAGCCAGCCGAGGTAATAAAAAAAAAAAAAAAACTGTCCACCAGTATCCCTTGTAATTAGATTATAAAATCATCAACAAAATATGAGCAAATCAAATTATCTCATGAACACAAGACTTTATTCCCGGAATGCAAGGTTAGTTTAACATCTATCTAACAATCAAAGTAACACTTCATATAAATAAAATAAATGATAGAAATAACACAATCATCTCATTAGATGCATAAAAATCATCTATGTGATATTCCAAGTTCATTCTGGATGAAAACTCTCAGCAAACCAGGAATATAGGAGGGTCCTTCAACCTGGTAAGAGGAATCTATGAAAACCCGCAACCAACGTCATTCTTTAAAGATGGTAACTCCTAGAACTGAGCCATGCCACTTCTAAGCACCTCCCCACAAGAAAGAAACACATATGTCCCCATGAAGACTTTTACATGAATGTTCACAGCAGCATAATTCGTAATAGCCACAACATGGAAACAACCCCATGTCCATCAGTAACTGAATGTATAAATAAAATGTGGTATTGACAAAGGAGTACTACTCAGAAATAAAAAGAAACAAGCTGCTGATACATGCTACATGAATGAACCTCAAAATCATGTATGTTAAATGAAAGAAGCAAGAAGAAGCAACAGATCACATTCTATATGAGTCTGTTTATACGAGACATCCAGAAAGAGGGAATCTACAGGGACAGAAAGCAGATTAGTGGCTGTCTGGGGAAGGAAGGTTTAACACAGGGCAGAAAACCGGACTCTGTTCTAGTCTCCTGCCTGCAGCCGTTAGCAGTGCTGTCCTCGACGGAGGTGCGGAAGCTATAATGGGTCTGGTGGCACCGTCGTAAGAGACGGCCAGGAGTCGTGTGACTGACTGGAATGCGACAGTCACCAAGCTCCCTGGCGTGGTGACCAGTGTTTTCAGTAACTAATTACCTTGTAGGATGACGGAGAGATGCCGGCTTTCTAGAATGTACACGAGCTCTGCTGAATGTTTAAGGAATGCCCTGAAAAGAGAAAGGGAAAAATACTGTTAAAAAAAAATCGGATTTCCACTATAAATATTCCTTTCAAAGTACTTGAAATCAAACACACCTAATCTTTCACTATATTGTATTCTCAATAACCTTTATGAATTTCATCAGTATCTATGTGACTCTTCAACAGAGTACATTTTGATTTTTATATCAGGGAAGTTCATGAGCCCTTTTATCAAAAGGGGGGTGATTTACATGACATTCTTGAAATCATAAATCACAAAACACAGAGATGGAGCAGAGATCAGTGGTTGCCAAGGGGCAGGGGTGGAGATGCGACTCTGAAGGGGCAGCACGGAGGGCCCGGTGGCGACAGAGGAGTTCTCCATAGTGATTGTGGTGGTGGTTGCACGATCTATATGCGCAATAAAAATGCACAGAACGCCACACACACACACACACACACACACACACACACGAAAACACGTACAAATGCGTGAAATCTGAATAAGGTCTATATATTGTACGACTTGGGGTTTTGTTTTGTTGCTTAAGATTTTTTTTTTTTTTAAAGATTTTATTTATTTGACAGAGAGAGAGAGACAGCGAGAGCAGGAACACAAGCAGGGGGAGTGGGAGAGGGAGAAGCAGGCTTCCTGCCGAGCAGGGAGACCGATGTGGGACGCGATCCCAGGACCCTGGGATCATGACCTGAGCCGAAGGCAGACGCTTAATGACTGAGCCACCCAGGCACCCTGTTGTTTAAGATTTATTTAGTTTTTTGACAGAGAGAACGAGCACAAGCAGGGGGAGCAGAGGGAGAGGGAGAAGCAGGCTCCCCACTGAGCAGGGAGCCTGATGCGGAGCTCGATCCCAGAAGCCTAAGATCATGACCTGAGCCAAAGGCAGACACTTAACCAAGCCACCCAGGCGCCCCTGTACCACTTGGTTTTGATGCCATATTCTAGTTATGCAAGACGTTACCACTGGGAGAAGCTGGTGGGGAGTACATGGAGCGCTGTACTGTTTTGTTCCTCCCATGAGTCTGTAATTAGTTCAAAATAAAAAAAAGTTAAGGAAAAAAAAACAGGCAAGTAGTTGTACAAACCTTACATATTCTAACCACCGAGTATTTTCCAGTGAAGACAACCATTTTTCTTCAGTTTCTTCAAAAGGCTCTGCAATAAATATGCCAATTATATATACATACACACATACACAATACGTATGTATACACACGTTTAGGCTTTTTAAACGATTTGATGTGATCACATTTTAAGTGATACACGTCACAGATTTTCCATATTTAAAAGTTGGCTTTAAAAAAGTACTATGCATTTTCATTTAACAATATAAACATGAAGAGACATGTTATGAGTCTATAAAAAACAAAACAAGGATTCCCCTGGGCCTTGGTTTCCTTCGCTCTGGCTCTCAGGAAGTCCCGCAGAGTCTTAGCACCTCTGCCTCCTAAGACCCAGTGGTTCCCGCTTTCCTGGTGAGCCCATGCCTGGATTCTGGAGCCCCCACTCACAGCTTCCTGCCTGCAAGCCCTGCCCTCCCCTGCTGCCCGCACTGCCTCCTGCACATGGTTTCCGTGACCACGGCAGGAATGAGGGCACCTTCCCGGCAGGGCCTGCATGCCCTCCCGAGTCCTGCCTGGCCTATCTCAAGGTGTCTCTTGCCTCACGAACTCCAGGCTCTAGTCACATTCCACTTACCAGACGGCTGATAATCATTTATGTCACTGTACTTTTTTAACACCCCCCCGCCCCAGCTCTTCTTCCAGGCCAGCACCCCTTCGTTGTTGCAGACCCACCCCAGTGACTGCCTCTCCTGGCTCCCGCGTCATGGGAGGCTCTGGGTGCCTTTCAGGGAGGACTCACTTCTCGCCAAAGATGCTTTTGTGTGAGTCACCCCCACCCCGGGACACACTGAAAGCACCCGAGAAGCACCTGCTCAAACACACGATTAGAACTCCAAGGCCACACAGATTACAACATGGCTGTGTCTGAAATCCGTGTCAGGTCCCGCATCTCAAAACGCAACTGTCTGCATTAGAATCTTAATACGTTTGTCCGTAAGGTAGCTCGTCGTTCTCTTGGCACTTTTACAAAAGGATCCTACCACAACAGTTCATGCTTTGAAAGTGATTTCACTGGTTTCTTTCTTTCCTCCAAAACAAAAAGCAGTTTAAACTTCATTTTCTGAGAGCTTCTGATATTGTCACATATAATAATTTGTACAGATATTTCAATGAGCCTCTACCTAAATATATCTATTTCTATATTTTCAAGGAATGTCACTTTTTCTGACATACCTCATGCAATGCTGTATCCCCAGTTCACTATATACATACATACATACACACACACACACACACACACACACACACACACACACACACAGATAAAAATGAAATTACCATTAACGCATAGTTGCTTAAGTTTCACAAAAGCCGCCTGTATTTCTTGGATATTGGGCAAGGTCTTATCCAAATCTGATTTGTAAACATCACTTCTCTGTGGATGACTTTTAGTAATTGCATTACAAATCCTAATAAAGATAAAATCCTTGAGTCATTCATTCATGCCACACATATTTTTTGAAGATCTATTATGGGCTAAGGAACTACTCTAAGAGCTGGAGATAGATGAACAAGACCGGTGGGGCCTCTGCTCTCACGGGACTTCCGAGCTTGGTGGTGGGAGGGTAGATGAGAAAGTCACAGGCTGGCGTGAATGCCATGGTGGCACCACCGGAGTGGAAGCAGGCTAGTTCAAGTCATGTGGCTGGGAAGGCTTTTCTGTAAAAACAACACTGAAGCCAAAACCCAAATGCCTAGGAGCCATGCAAGATCTGTGGGTAAGTGTTCTAAACGCAGAGGGACAGTAAGGGCAAAGGTCCTGTGGTGGACCCAAGTTTGGCTGTGGAGAAACCTAGAGAAGGCCAGTGGGGCTGAGCTGATGTGTCTAAGGAGAAAGGCCTGGAGAGAGCCTGGACAACGCAGAGAACGTGTCTTACTTATGAAGGGTGGGACAGCTGGAAAAACAAAGGAATTAAAACAATTTGCAGCTTAATAAAGTTAAAAGATGAAACATGCCACTGGCTGTGAGGGTCCAGAATGAACTCTGGCCCAGCAGCACCCCTGACACGGCAGCCAACACTGGCCTCGGAGCGCGACACGACACACAGGTCAGTTTCAACGTGACCGAGGTAAAAACTCCATCAGAGATTACATGAAGCCAGTCACTGTCCTTTCCAGAACCCTGAAGGCTCGTTTGCGGGTCACTTGCCAGCTATTTGCTTCAGCAAACATGGCTTTCTTAGGTATGGCAGTGTGGAAAACACCCTAAGACCTGGCTACACCCATAACAGGGTGTGATATACAATTTGAGGCTCTCTGAGCCAGTTTTCTAAGATCTGCTCCTTTGTTCCTCATTTATAGAGTACTGAACAAGTATCCGATATGGCAGGTATTTCCTGAGTGCTGAATGAACAATGGTGTGCAAAATGTAATCCCTTCAGCTCACGAGCTCACAGCCTAGTAGCAAAGACAGGCAGTAATCAAACTCACACACATATATAATTAAAAACCGAAATCAGTGTTCTGAAGAGAACTGAGCACGCCATGGAGAATGGGTAACTTGAGGCCTGATCTAATCTGGCAGGTGAGGGAAAGCTTATCTTCAGGAGTGATTTTGGAATGGAGATATAAAGGATGAGTGAGCACCAAAAGTGGGTGGGGTAGAGAGTACTCAAAGAAAGGCAGCCCGGAAGGGAACAGCACCGGCGAACGTCAGGAGGTGGGAGAGCCCCGGGCATAGTCCACGGGGCCAGGGCCCAGAGCAACACGTGTGGTACTGGATGAGACACGGAAGGAAGACATGAAGACACCTGACAACACACTGGGGGGGGGTGGAGCTGGGGTGGACACACACGGGTCTGTAAGATTTTGAGAGAGTGAAGTGACAGAAGCTGATGATGGACTGAACGTGGGGAAGGAAGCGAAAGTAAGGACTCCTGGGTTTCTGAGAGCAGGCTGGGAGAGGGCGTGGTGCCCGTATGCTGGAGTCTGGGTTTGGACATCATGAGTTTAAAGGGCCTTTGAGACTTCCACGGAAGATGTCCCATTAGAGATAAAAATTTGATGGTCACTAAAGCCACAGCCACAGATGAACTTCTTTAGGAAGGAAATACAGACTGGGAAGCAGTGGCCTCAGACAGATTCTAGGTCATGTTTGCAAAGAGCCAGGGCTGCAGAGGGCACAGAGCACCGGTGAGGAAGAGGGGCTGCAGGAGAGTGGGAAGGAGCAGGCGCCTAGGACTCAGAGTGCTTTAGGGACAGACAGACCAGCAGTGATGCCCGCCAACTGCCGAATGCCTACTGCTTTAACGACACGGAGATTACTGGTGACTTCAGCAGATGATGCCAAACTTGTTTGTGGTAGCTAATTAAAACCACCATCTAAGCTACTGTGACTCTAAGACTTAAGACACACTGAACTAATAGAAAAGCCTGATTTATCCTGAAATAGCTCAACTGGAAATCACTGCACTTTGGAAGTATGTTAAAGGTGACACTGCTATAGCAAGATGTCAGCAATGTGAAGATCCTCCGAGGTCTTTCTTTTTTTTTTAAGATTTTATTTATTTGAGAGAAAGAGAGAGAGAGAGCAGGGGGACGGGTAGAGGGAGAGGGAGAAGCAGGCTTCCCACTGAGCAGAGAGCCCGATGTGGGGCTCGATCCCAGGACCCTGGGATCATGTCCCGAGCCGAAGGCAGACACTTAACCGACTGAGCCACCCAGGTGTCCTGATCTTCCAGTGTCTTATAAGCCAAAGAGTTAAATTATATTTAGTATAACTTAAATGTTAATTTTAATATATGTACATTTTTTTCAAAATGGTAATTCTTATATAGAATACATGGTGCTAACTAATTAATAAAACTATGTCGTTTTCCAACTATTTTCAAGCAGTCAGGAGTTTACTCATTTATGACAACTAAAAATGTCCAAAGGAACAACGGCCACGTCTTGGTTACCTCTGGTCAATTTTCCTCTGTTGCAGCACGTCTTTTATGAGGGCCATTCGCACAAGAGCACTGCCATTAGAGTGGCTCCAGCACCAGAGCTAGGAGGGAAGCAGAGCCTTTACTTGACTGGGAGAAGAAAAGAACATCGACGTGAATGAAATCCAACAGACATCACTTACTGGCATCCTTCTTCCAACAAAAGAATGGGAAAAGATCTTCAGGTCTTGGTCTGCTAAAGAACTTGGCACTACAAAGTATTCTGGAAGGCTGGAGAGGAAAAAGCAAAGTGTTCCTGTGCTTTAGGCAGGTAAGTGTGCTTTGCAGATCCCATATACACACAATTTATCCCCATTTAATGTGTACCCTCCTTGGCGGCCACATGGCATCTACCATGGAAGACAAGGTTGACCCTAGACATCTCTGTCTAAAACCTGTATCCTTTGGTCAATTATCACAAAACTTATAATTATAGCAGAGGAAAACATCCAAAGGAGATGTCTGAAATATTCTCCAAAGTGATTTTTAATCAAAGATGTATGCAGTTTCTGAAAAACATACCCACCTTTGTTCTCTACGGGTAAGGACAAACGGCACACAAGACAAAACCAAACCAGACCCACAAACCCCAGGAGCCTTAGTTCCTTAGCTCCCTCTTCTAACCATTCTCATCCCCAGAAGACACCCAGACTCCAGGACGCCGCCAGAACAGCAATTCCTAGTGGGCAGGCTCCCTGTGCCGTAACACATCTTCCTCTCTCTCTTCTTCCCTTATCTTTAAAATATTCGTGAAAGCACTATTAAAAACAAATATTCCATTCACGGTAACGTGCAAGTTATCAGAGAGCAGAGTTTGATTCTTATTCACAAGGTTGTTCAAACTGGACTTACCAGGTGGATATCATGTAACCCTCGTTAATGGAACAAACTCTCCAACCGGAAGCACCTGTCCTCTTCATTTCTCGGTCCCAGTCTGAGTACGTTTCGAAGAGCGGAGTGTTCTGGACGCTGCCACCACCAGTCCCCTGGCCACCTCCTGAGGGTATTCCATTAATGTTACTGGCTACGAGAAAAAGCAGTAGTATTAGTTTTGTTTCAAGGTCACATTTCGCCCCACATGCCCTCTCCTGTCTCGGCGCCTCCTGTCAGGAATACACTCGGACGGGACGTCTCCTCCCTGCGTGTCTTTCCAGTCTCCCTAAGGTGTTCTGACTGCTCCCAACGGTCCTGAGAAAGAGGCGGCCTCCTCTTGTCAGAACTCATCTTGTCTCGTCCTCATCCAGCTCTTCCCTGGCTCCTCCAGCACCGTTAACTTCTCTCTCCTTCTACTGGCTCTCTCTTGTCTACCCTCAAACACAAACAGGTCACCTTGATTTTGAAATGACTTTCATCTGACCAAGCTGCACCACGCCAGCTACTGTGCTACATATATATACATTTTTCCCTCCTCCCTGTTACTGCCCATCTTCCCAAAATGATGAACAATGCCTGCTGCCCAGATTTTCTCCTTTTCCATGACCTTCTATCCCTACCATTCCACGGAAGCCACTCATGAGCCTCCCTCATTCCCCCTGCCCTAAACTGTGGGGTAAATTCAAATCACTGTTCATTTTTTCCACACGTTTTGCCTGGAACAATGAATGCATCCAATCATGTCTGTTCTCGACCAAATCTTTCATCCTTCTAATATTGACAACCCCACTCTTTTCTACAGCTCATTATAAAATTCTTGGTCTCCTGTATCTACTCAATTTTCCTTTGATAAGCTCACAAGCGTTCCTTGTACTCAGAGGGCCACTCCCACCTGGGGATTTCAGCAGAGGGCCTACACTTGAATTTCCTTAGCAAGGAGCCCTCTCTCATTGAGAACTGCTGTCCTCTGGGAGATGCCCCCAGCCTCAGGAAGGCCAGCAGAGTGACCAGAGGGAAAGAGAGCGTCTCAGCAGTCAGCCTGCTCTACCCTGGCAAACTGGGGTGACAGACGGCACAATCTTTCCTGGCCCCGTGTCTTATCGCTACAGGATGCAACGGTGGTGGCAGGTCTCCGGCCTGACATCCCCGACACGACGTTCTACAGCACTCAAACCAGACTGCAGCCTGCTACAGGACACAATGCCCCAAAATCATGCTTTCATGATGTTTTACCCTTGTCCCAAACTTTCCCTCATGCTCATTTTCCAACTTCCTGGAGCAAAACAATTTTGCTTATAAATCTCTTAGATAATCAACCTGACCTTTCATTACTGCCTTAACCCCATGCTCCCCCATAGCCACGGAAACCCCTTCATTGTCCCACGAACATGCCATGCCCACTTCTGTGGACCATTTATTAACACCTGGTGCAAGACAGGTATTTTTGGAGAGCCTCCCATGTGCTAAGGCCTGAAAATTAAAAAATGAGTAAGGTTTTATCTGTATCTTGAAAGCACCAACAAGACAGTGGAGGGTAAGCTCAGCCCCAGTCACAGTGAGCTGGATGTACAAGCGCCATGAGAGCGCTCATTGGAGATGGAGGCTGGGGCAGGAGAGGCCTCAAGACCTGACCACACCTGAACAGAGACCTAAGGAATGAGCCAAATGTTGCCAGGTGGCTGGTGAGATGAGAAGGAGGTAGGCATGCTGGGCAGAGCAGAACATAAAAAACACGGTATACTGTATAACAAGTAATGAGATACAGCTAGAGCATGAGGGATGCAAGGGATGGTGGAAGAGAGGCTGGAAAATGAGGTGGGGCCAAGACCCTTGGCCTCTGCTGCCCAAACAGTAGCCACTAGTCACACGTGTGATTTAAATTGAAACAAAATAAAATAAAATAAAAAAGGCAGGTCCTCAGTTGTACCAGCCACATTTCCAGTGCTCCACAGCCGCATGTGGCTAGTGGGTCCTATACCAGACAACGCAGAGGAGAGAACATTTCCCTCCCTGGACAGTGCTACTCTAGATTAGAAAGGGTCTTAGGCACCATGCTAGGAATTCTGAATTTTATACTTTACGTGGCATCAGAATTACCCAGTGATTCTGATTCTAGTTTCAGCAGAGCTTGTTTAATATTAAAAGGCTAAAGCTAAGCACATATCCTGGAGTGCCACTCCATCTCAAAGCCTTCTCCAGAGTAGCTACGCTTGAGAGCTGTAATCTCTCCAGGATGAAGAACCTTCTTGGAATGTCCAGGCAACTGTCACTTTACACACAGTGATCCAGAACACCAAAAACCACAGAAAGCTATTCAACATTAGAAAATATAATTCATCATATGATCAAATTAAAGGGGAAAAAAACACCCCATATGATCAGTTCAAAGTGCAGAAAAATATTTGATCAAGTTCAACACCTACTCATAATTTAAAAAAACAAACTTCAGTAAACTGGGAATAAAAGGGAAATTCCTTACTTGATAAAGGATAATTACCAGAAACACACAGTAAACATCATCCTCATCAAAATCCAGAAGAGAAATGATGCCTGCTATCCTGGTTACTATTCAACATTGTACCAGAGGTCCTTGCCACGCAATGAGACAACCACCACCAAAAAAGAAGTATAAAGAGCACATTCACCATTATTAAAGAGCTGTGTAAATAGTTTGGCAGGATACCCTCAGCTAGGAGGCTAGAACTGAATACTTTTGAGTGTTTTGAAGTTACAGACTTTAGTAAGCTAGGCTGAGAACATACAGTTTGAGACTGTTTCTCTAGCCAAGATTTAGTCTCAAGATCTAACCACAAAAAGACAAATTTTCTGAACATCAGGTGAGGAAAAACTACAGGATATTGCACTATTTTACTATTTTACAGGTTTTGGTTGTCCGTTTCTCAACAACCAGGACTAGGTTATATATTCTATATCGTCTTCAGTGAGAGCTTATTAGAGAATGTGTAATAGATACTTAATCTGGCATTAGAGAGTCTGGAAATTCTAATGCTTTCCAGAAAGTCCCAAAGGCCTGATGCCTGTGGCCTGCTCTACAAGTGGATTACTAACAGGTGCAGCAACAGACTGGCAAAATCAGTCATCTTAGGAAGATCCAGCTTTCCTGAGAGTTATCTGAGGTTTTAGGACAGCTCCTCAGCCAACTAAACGTGAAAACTAGATCATAAGCACTCCTGACCTTGGCTATCTTCTTCTTCTTCTTCTTCTTTTTTTTTTTTAGATTTATTTATTTGTCTGACAGAGAGCAAGAGTGAGAGAGCGAGCACGTGCACACGTGCGCATAAGCGGGGGAGGGAGGAGGGCAGAGGGAGAGAGAATCCTCAAACAGACTTCCCACTGAGCACAGAGCCCAACACACAGCTTGATCCCTGCCTGGACCCTGAGATCACGACTTAAACTGAAATCAAGAGTATATGAATGCACTCAAACGACTGAGCCACCCAGGCGCCCCACCCTGGCTATCTTCTGTGACACAGTTCAAAAGTCTAAACCCATGCTGTGCTGAAATTATCCACTTAACTAGCCCCATCTATATTTAGAATGGCCTCAAACAGCAAAGACAATAAAAGTGGTCAACAAATGGGAAGAAAGCCTATCGCTTTGATGATACTGCAGAAATCAAGTCATAACGGATGACAAGGGTAAAAACAAAGCTGTGATGTTCAGCTCAACAGGGTGAGTCAACGAAGTGGTTCTAACCGGGAGACTTGGACTTTGGGCCTGGGGAAGAGCTGGGATGGCTGGATTTCTAAAAGTTCCTCCAGGGATTCTGATACGGGAGGCTGGCTGGGAACCACCAGTATTCAAGAGACCCAAGGATCAATCACAACCATGTCTCGCTATACTTGAGAATCTTAAAAGAACTGACAGGCAACAAACCTTAAAAATTTCTACAGTTTCAAATGGACTATGTACTCTGTAAGTGGTTTTCAAATAAGCATTTAATGGAAAATCTAATACCAAGGCCTTTGTTAATAAAAAGGATAAAATTACAAAATAAACCACTGAAAATTCCCATTTTCTGTCATGAGACTACATGACAACTTGAGATTACATCACAGCATTTGCAAGCTCAATGTCTGTCATGGAGTAGAGCTGCTAACACTGAGGCTGCAGATAACTTCATGAGGTTGTCTTTTCTTTCTTTTTAGAGGGGGGGAGGGGCAGTGGAAGAGGGAGAGAGAGAATCTTACGCAGGTTCCTTGCTCAGGGCAGAGCCTGATGCGGGGCTCGCGATCTCGCCATGCTGAGATCATGACCTGAGCGAAAAATCAAGAGTAGACACTTAACTGACTGAGCCCCCCCAGGCGCCCCAACTTCATGAGGTTTTCAATTCTTCAGACTGGAAGCATAATCTGACATCTTATCAATTTTATCACAAAGATCAGTCTGTACTTTTGTGACATTATTTGCCCAATAACAACCTGACTGAGGAAAGCAGAGTCCTTGTGGTTTCTTTCAAGTTTTAAGAAAAAACCAGAACCACCGTGCTTGTCTGTGCCAGCACCCCCTGAGGGGCTCCGCGCCTGGGGCCCCAGTGCTACGCACCATCCCTTTACTTCGGGATCCTCACAGAAGTACTTGGATGACTGGTGAGCTCTGCAGAGATGGTGTTCTCACTCAAGGGATGCTGAACATGGAAGAAACCCTCAGAGTGCCTAAGGCCATCTCAAAGATTCTTTCCCTAGATAACTGCAGGGGACATCCTCTAACTTCAGATCTTATTCGTGGAAACAGCTTTGTCACCTACCTGCCTGCAAAAAGGACTTCTTTATTCTTTAATCCAGCCAATGAATCAAGGTGGCATCCAGAAGTTCAAGAGTGGATTATTGGGCATCTTTCACTCACAAATTAATGAATTCTGACTGCAGTGTGTGGATAGTTCAGGCTTCTTTTGATCTTAAGGATGCAGTTTATGCTTCTGCAACAGCACGGAAGGATATTAAAGGGTGTTACCCTAGGAGGAATCTTAACAAAACTCTGGCCAAGTGTTATGTTTATGAAGTACCTATCAAAGCAAGAGGTGACTGAAAGATGTAATAAAAAAAAGTGTTCCTGAATATTTTAAGTATTAATTATCCAATTTTATCAACAAGCTACATATAAGAAGACATACAGAACTGATTGATGTAAGTAAGAAAACCCAGTAGTAGAAGAGCTATGGGTAGAATAACTATTTGCAGTATTATTGACCCAGAGATGCCCATAAGGAATGGATGAAGAAAACTAAAAAGTTAACTAGAGGAGGCATCAGGTTCCCAAATGCATAATGAAGTTTACTGCATTTGCTGAGCTCAGGTCATTACATTACTGCGGAAATCACAGATCTATATCCTGGATGGAATCATTTCTATTAGAAAAAAAAACAGCATCAAGAATTGATCTGTATAATAAATTTAAGGGGGAATCAAAGACTCTTACAACTCTTGGACCTCTTGAAACTTTCATTTCAGCTACTCTCTTGCAAGTGTGGGTGAGGATCTTATTGGAAATAACCTTGATGATCATGGTCTGTAGCTTGATGATGATCCAAAGAAATATTCACCTAATGAGTAGTGTAGGATCTACAATACTTTTATGTTTAGACAGTAAGTAAATTTTATAATTTATAGTAAGAAATAAACTTCAAAAATTATTTTGCTCAAGCCTAAATTACAATTGGTTACATTTTGATAAGATTAAGTCACAAATACTTTGTCTTCCAATTTCTATAAATACAGCACTGTATGATAAAAGCTATTCCTTCTGCAAAGCATGACTTTCACATACCATCTCTATGGTGTTTACAAGTATCTTTTAAAGGAGTGAAAATACACTTATACCATATGCATCTGCAGATACTCTGTATTATTCCCTACATCTTAATGTATTTACAATATAGTGATACTCAAATATGCTTTTATTTCATAGACTAAATTACTACAGTATGTTTTGAGATAATAAAACGAAAGCCCAGTACAATTAATAATTTGTAAGATCCCTGTTCAGACCATGTTGGAGTGAACTGATCTTTCCTCGTAAATACGTAATTGATTTATTTTTCTGCCTTAATAGTGGGAGAACACGTGCCTTGGTAGGTTGAGTCGATGTGTGGTCCCTAATCCACAAGTGGCTGATATGAGACATGACCCCTTTGTTTTTCTCCTCTATCCTTTTATGGGATTTTTTTTAAATGGCTGATTAAAATTACATTTGGATATAAGAAATGTACAGAATCACATGATCATCTGGAATTTTCCTTGGTGATGTCATCACTGAGTAATTACATATTCAGTAAACATATGAACAGTACTACTTTACTTTTACAAACACTGCCTAGAATATACTTGTCCTTTGGATAGACACTCCTCTTCCTTCCATCAATCTTATTAAGAAACATAAAGTCAGTATTTTGATGATCTCAATGATCTCTCCACTAAAATGTTTAACCACTTTAGCTTTTGCATGAAATCACACCATGTCAGAAAAGATCATGCATTTCAAGTATCTTTTAATTTTCTGTCAGTTTTGTTTAAAAGATGAGATTATTTCAACTCAAGCTATCAATTAAAAGTGGGAGGAGGGGGATCTTTCTTCACCATAAAATATAAGCCAGGGACTATAGGTAAAAGATCTGACAGGATTTTTTTTTTTTTTTAAGATTTTGTTTATTTGACAGAGAGAGACAGAGCGAGAGAGGGAACACAAGCAGGGGGAGTGGGAGGGAGAAGCAGGCTTCCCGCAGAGCAGGGAGCCCGATGTGGGACTCGATCCCAAGACCCTGGGATCATGACCTGAGCTGAAGGCAGACGCTTAAGGACTGAGCCACCCAGGCGCCCCCTAGACCTCACATGATTCTTATAAGCCTATGTTTATAGCTGCTTACAGGTTCTTCCTGGTTCCTTTCTAAGAAATAATCTAACAAATATTGTCTCTTCTAGTATATAGTGCTTTCTTCTCTAGCAGTTATGAAGCTAATAATTCTACAATCATTAAAGCTCATGTACTTGGAAGCCTCTGATAAACATAAGAATAAAACTTAAACAATGTAAAGTTAGTCACAATATTTAATATTTTCATATTTACCTGAATTGTGGTATTTTTTCCCAACATATTCAAATGCAAAGAGTAGCTGGAGGTCTGTTGGCTGGGAATAATGAGCTATTGCAAGGCATACCTAGGAAAAATTCTACATTTAGAATTTGATTTTAACACACTTATTTAAATGAAATGTACAATAAGGCCTTGATTACTGGGAGCATCATCCTGGGTGGGCCAGTGATTATAGATACTTATTTACATGTTTTTTTTCTGTTAAACCTAGAATGTGAAAGAGCTCCTTAAGGCCAGGTATCTCATTCATTGTTGTGCCCCCAGGACACTGTTTATAATCTTTAGGGAGTACATGGTATTTAGTAAGTGTTTGCTGAGTTGAATTTTAACAGGAAAGTAATTTTATTCAAATAAAGAAACTTGAAACCTAAAGAAACATTCTCCAAAAAGGCAGTGACGTGTATGTGTGTGTGTATATATATATATATATATATATATATATATAAAAATATATATCTTCTTAAAAAAAAGGATTAAAAAAAAGTTTCATTTTTGGTGGACTAAAATGATTTAATACCAGCAATCTGGAAGGCTTAATGTAAGGTATGAAATTTTAATGTTCATACCTCATGGATTAAAAAAAATCTAGACTTAATAGGAAAGCTACAATCACAAAAAATAAAATTAGCAAGAAACCCAAAAGTACAGGGTGGCTCAAAGAGGTACATTAAAAAAAATAAAAAATAAATAAATAAAACAACAACAACTGTGTTTAAGAAAATGGTTTGAGACTACATCTAGGGTGGAGAAAGTGCTCAATCGAACAGATCAGGAATTGAATCCTATGGTCTACCAAACACTTGCCCTGTAAATGGTATGAAATCAGTTCATCTCTCTGAGCCTTGGTTTGTGCAACTGTAAAATGAAGATAATACCTATGGCTATGGTAAGGATTGTCTTAATGCATGCCTGGCCTCTGCAGAAGCTCCATACATGGAAATACGGTTGATATTATTCCCAACTGCTGTTGGAGAGAAGGATGGACAGTGCCCTATGTTGACAACGCCCTGGACTAGACTGCAGAAGAAAATAAATGATTGGAGCAGAAAGAAGAAATTTAAGACATATGAAAGGAGAGAAGAGAAGATCTTACTTAAAAAGATTAAATATCATTTAGAAGAAAAGCATTAAGCCAGAACAATATACTTTTGACAGTGAGCAAGCAGGAAAAGTTTAGTTGTTAGTCCATGTCAATTAGTGGTGTTTGAGAGGGTTGGTGCAAATTCTACTAACGGGTAACTATGCGTCAAGTTCTTGTTTTAAAATATATATTAAAAGTCTTCTATAGAATAAATGTTTCCTGTCTTACTAAATTAGAATATATATATACAAATAAGAGGACAGAGTTTATCACTAGCTTTAGTTTTGACTAAAACAGTAACAAAACATTCCTGAAACTTTTATGTAATACCTCCATTTAATTGACTACAAGGAAAGCTTTCCAGAACAGCCCCATTTATGTAATTAGGAGGCAATAATCTACATTCCCATCATTAATCTGTCCAAGTCTTCCTTAGAGAGCTTCTTCTAGTGGCAAAACTACTGAAATCTGTACTTGAAGAAGTCCTCGACCACTTCTTATTCCTCTCAGCACCATATGTAGTTTATAAGCTTTGTTGTACTTTCCTCAAGATTATCATTCATTTTTGTTCCATTTCTCTGCACTACCACAGCCATTATTCTTAAGCCATACTCACCTTTTGGCATCTCTTGTGAGCTTCCCTACATTTTGGGGAAAAAAAAAAATCCACAATGCCTAAAAAGTCTCTTCTAAAAATGAAATTCTGACCAACAGCTCTGCTCCCCAGATAACCTGCTGTGGTTCCCCGATACCTGCCTAATAAAAGAAATCTTCTCATCCTTGATTCTTCACCAAGCTGGCTCTCCTCTACCAGACATCTCTTCCTTTCCCAACGTTCCCTCAGTGGTCTTCTGTCAGAGAACAACATATTTGCACGTACTCTGCCTGCCTTACTCCCAGCCGCCGCCTCCGCCACACTCTGCCCAGGAAATCCTTCTGCACTGCGGAGCCAACCACCCTGTTTCTGGAAACTACCTGCTCTGTTCAACTCGAATCTCTTCACAGGCCCTCCTAGCCCGAGCCAATTTCACAGAATGAACTGCAGAAACCCTTCTGCTCTCTCTGAATCACAACCGCTCTGAATTAAAGGGTCCCTTCCGTTAGCTGTGCCTGTGTAGCTGAATGAGTTTCAGAGTATTCATGACAAAGATTTGAGTGTAGCTGAAAAGGGCACAGGGGTTCTTCATTTTACTTCCACCATTAAATTCAATCCCTCAAGGGGAGATGCTGCCTCTGTCATTCATTCGACAGGTATCTCCTGCGCATTCACCAAATCCAAAGCCCTGGGGCTGCAGCATGAACAACACAGGCGCAGATCCCTGGCATCATGAGGGGGGAAGACAGACATGAAACAAAATAAACAAGAAAACGATAGTAAGTGACATCATTGTAAGTGCTAAAGGAAAAAAAAAAAAAAGTCCAGCAAGGGAGGGATATGAAGTGTTATGGTGAGGCAGAGAAGGGAGTGGGTTAATAATTTAGAGAAGGAGACCAGGAAAGACCTCTGTGCAGAGCTGAGTGAAGACCTGAAGACTTCTGCATTTTTGCTTTTCCTCAGTAGCTTTCTGAAGGTGCTTTGTGCACAACAGCAGCGGTGCTAAAAATACTAGTTGACAAAATTATTTACTAACATAGTAAGGAAAATGCTCTAAGCCAATGAAACGAGCATATCACCTTGTCTAACACATTTAGAAAGCAGCCACAGGCCTTGTTTACACAAAAGAAATTCACAGATCATTATGGAGTATGTTGTTTATGGTCACAAAGCAAAAACAAACAAAGCCTATCTGCTAGGCAAACCCAACGGAGCCCATTTCTAAAATGCCCTTTAGAATAGCACATCACATTTATAAAGGTTAGGAAACAAATGAGTATGTCTAATAGCATCTCCATTGCAAGGAGACTGTAACAATCTTGTGAAACCGAAACTGTTCAATCACCTGCACAATGGCTGATGGGGGGGGCACAAACTGAACTAAAGCTGGTGCTGAGTAGTGTAATTACAAGTGTGTATAACTTATTTCTATGTAACCTAAGCAAGGGGCATCTTTGGGGACCCAGATAAAGGCACACACCACTTGTGCTATCTGGGTTACATTCATGCTGTTATGTAGGACATTCTGAGAAGGGAAATAAAGCCAAGAATCCTTTCCCTCAAGCTTTTCCATATACACTCCTTAAAAAGCTTATGTCCACATTCTTAGCTTCTGTCACTAAGAGCTTGAAAGACTTAAAAAAGGTCTCATTTTCATGTAAAATTATTCTAATTTTGCAATGTACTCCATAAGCATTAAAAATTTTTAGAAAAACTCTACATCTTTAAAAACTGCTTCTGAAAATAGTTCCTCTGCCCTGGCTGTCATAGGGAAGAAAGACTATCTTGGGATTAAAGACATTAAATGATGGTAAATATTTCATTGGGGGAAAAAAGTAAACTACTTCTGAATTGATTTCTGGACCAAGAACAATCTTGTGGACAGAAGCCATAAGTACCCAGTTGGTTTCTCCTCTAAGACCAGCTGGGGGCGCAGCACTGGAGAAGCTCAAACTAATCAAGTTCTAGCACACTGGCAAACAAAACTGGTTTCCTGTATTTTGTGGTCTGAAAGTCACCAAGGAGTAAGTCTCAGATTCAAGGGGGGGGGAAAAAAAGACAGTTCACAAAGAGCCAACTTATTCTTTAAATAGATGGGTTGAATTTTCACTTTGAGAAAGTATGCCTGACAAGTGGTTCACAATCAACTAATCTGAGAATAAAGTAGAAACAAAGGGCATTCGTTTCACTTACCATCTTTATATATATGTACACACACACATATATATATTTTATAAGCGATAAATCATTAAAAACGATTTTGCCCCTCCATTTTGAACAGAGGTTCTTCAAAAGGAAAGGGTGGCTCCAAGTTGCTTTGAGGCTAGACATCCAATTCTGCAATATAAAATTCCTTCTTGCTTTTTACAGATCTGTCCCAAACATCCTTATTTGTGACAGACCAAGGATAAGGATGAATGCTAACGGATGCAGTAGCACAGTGTCATCTAATTTTGTCATAACACAATTTAGGCAACACCAACTAGACTACCAGAAGGTTACAGAGTAATATTTAACAAAATGTGAACCAATTTAGCATTTTGAGATTTCATATTTCAAACAGAAATATAAATGCTTTTCGTATTTCAAAGCTAATCAGTGGTTTACCCACCAGAGAACTCTGAATGTGCATCTGGTCATTTTAAAACAACTTATAAAATCAGAGCATTTCCAGAGAAAATTTAGCTTTCAAAATTTCCGGGAGGTAAAATCAAGCTGTAACTTCCCAACTGTTACCTAATTTTAGATGAAAACTTTCACTTGAAATAAAAAAATATGCTAGAATTCTTGTTTTTAACTCATGAAGCCAGTAAGCTTTGGCAGCACACATGCCCTAACCTCTGTGTTTGAAATGTAAATCAGGGGAAAATTTCTCTATTTATATTCTTATTGCCTCTAATTTTCTTTCCTGCACCTGCCCTTCCCCACAACAGGACTGTACAAAAGACAAAAAGAGCATTTCTTTCAGGCCTGAGCTTATATGCTTTTAATATTTTAAGACAAGAGGGGAAAGGATTTGTACCAGAAATGCAGTCTTGGGAAAGGGCATAAACAGTTGGACAACACTGTTTCATGCAGACAGTTCAGTGCGGCCCCCTTCATCACTTACCAGCAGCACAACAGACAAGGGAGATCCTGAATTTCCAGAGCACTTAACTGTTTCATTCATTTGGCAACTAATCACTTACGTGGCAACATCTTTTATGCCCTTACTTTGTACCACTGTTCAATTTTCATTTGTTTATGCTCTATCTTCTCCACTAAGCACACTGCCTCACACATTAAAAATGACCAGCAGGTGTTTATTAGAAGGCTCAAGAATGAAGCCAAATAATTATGATTTCCCATTACTGAAATAGAGTCATCTGAAAAATGTAGTTGAGAGTGGGAGAGAGGGAAACTTTCTGAAAGAATATTGGGCCACTGTATCAATTTCTTACTTTAAAAAAATCCTGTCCTAACTAAATCTCTTACGTTCTATGGTGTCGCTATTCTTGAAATGCTATATATCCTGAAACTAAGATTTTCATAAGTAGATTCTTGATGTTTTGACTGATTAAATTACAAGTATATATTTAAGCTCAAGAAAGTAACTCAGCTAAAATGTTTTATATACAGCCTACGACCTAACGAGTCTTAAAGTCTTTCTACAGAAAAGTAGGCAACTCAAGTTAGTAAAATGCCAAAATCACAAATGGCAGAACTAAACAGATGAAAGGGGCCCACAAAACGTGAACCAACGAGTTACAGCTACCTAGCTGAATTTTCAGTAACGCAGCATGCCGAAAGATGGTTTTACAAACTCTACCTGAAAACTTTTAGCCAGAGAGCCCGCTATCACTCTGCTAGATCATCTAGTCCTCGAGGTCCAGCATGTTGATATTTATCTTATGCTTGCCTTCCTGTGAGGAAACTGTTGATTCTAAGTTCTAAAAATAAATCTACAATGTCCTCACCAAAGTGTATGAAAACAGCTGCCTTAAGAATTTTTGAAGGCCTCATTTGGATATCAAAGAAAATTCACTGCAGTAAGTCTACTAACCATGGAAACCAAATGCACCTGTGCATTCTGGGGTGGTGCAAAAGCTGACTCATTTCTGAGAGAAGGTTCCACTTCACTAAGAAACTGTTCCTTTATTTCCAATGTGTGGGAGCAGACTTCTAGAAAGTGTTAGATTCTCTGCATTTGCTGCATGAGAGACTGGACCAGTAGGGCAATAGGTCCACCAGCTTCACTCCTCTGCCAAAGCCAAAATGTGGGATCAAGGAAGTGGGAATTTCTGCCCGTGAATCTTACTCCACGAGCAGGCAATAAACATTCCCTGGGAGGCAGGAGAAAAACAAAGCCAATTAAAAAGTCCCTAGCTTTAGCTGTTCCTGTGGAATAGCACTCAAATTAATTCACTAAGATTTCTTTAAAGCACTATTATCAGGCTGCTCCCGTAACTATACCTTTACCTAATCCTTATGTAACTTAAGTCTAACTTTTAGTTCATTGATGATGTTCTGAGGTATTTTCTAAAGTTCTGAGAAAGAAACAAGCTGGTAATGGTCTAAGTGCAAAAGACATACTAATTTCCACATCATAGTTTCTAATATTGTAGGAGCTGATAAAAAAAACACAAAACCTAAAAACCTATATAGAATACTTTAAAGCAGCCATAAATTAGTCCAAGGAAATAGTTCTATTAACATTCTTAGCTTTTACTTTACCTAAGGAAATATCTGATGACTTCCCCCCCGCCCCCGCAAAAAATCTGAGCAACTGAAAAAAGAGAACTTCCATATAGAACTGATATTGGTAAATATGGTACGAAACCCAAAACTTGATAAAGCTTAATAGTATTACCTTTTTGGCACTTTCAGGACCTGATTCATCAAAGCGAAATCTGACAATTCTGAAATCTTTACAGTAAATAATTAACTCTGTTGGATTAAATTTCAGTTTCTGGTTGGGACCTAGGACTTTCTGCTTCCTCTTGTGGTCATTTACTAAAAATGAAAAAATAAAGAAAATATGTGTAAAAATTCTTTTTGTTACTCACTCTTTAGTATACCTTAACAAATTATTACTGTAAATAATTAGAAGGTTACCCACTGCTTCTCTGGAATCTTTCATATTTTCTACAATTTACAGAACTTGGAAAGGGGATCGGTTTTAACTTTGCTTTTGACTATATTTTAAATGATCCTTGCACAAAATCACCACCAAAATCTAGACACATTTAATGTCTTTTTTAATTAAAAGAAGACAAATACTTAGAAAACATAAAAAGCTAAATATGCTATATTTCCATTTAAAAATAACTTACTGACTTCGGGGCACCTGAGTGACTCAGTCGGTTGATGCCTGACTCTTGATTTCAGCTCAGGTCATGATCTCAGGATCATGGGATTGAGCCCCCCGCATCAGGCTTGGCACTCAATAGGGAGTCTGTTTAAGATTCTCTCTCTCCCTCTCCCTCTTCCCCTCCCCCTGCTCACACTTGCTCTCCCTCTCTGAAATAAATAAATGTTTAAAAAAATAATTTATTGACTTCTCTTTAATATTCTTGGGACTCAAAAAAAAGGGGGGGGAACATAAACCTACAGAAATAAAATTCCAACCCAAATATTTGAGAGGTGTGATTCTTCAAGCAATACTTCCTGAGGAGAATCAGCTTTTTATTGACTGAGTAAGAATACTACATACCTGTGACAATTTGCTCAATACATGTTAAAGGTACATCATGTTCACCAAGAAGAAGGTTTCTGTAATGGAATTTCTGAAATAAAAATTATGTTCACGTTAAGTCTTTCCCCAACAACCTCAAAGGGTAAGTAAGAGACTTACTCTTACATGTGATAAGAAACTATGATGACTATCTCTAAAAAGAATAAAAAGTTTTTGTCGCAGAACTATGACAGTTCTAAGGAGGGAGTATCTTAGAACACACTTCAGTCATGAAAAGGAAAAAGAAACATATGCTGTGTTCACACTCCCTCCACCTTTCTCTCCATACTTTTAAATATGAAATGAGGTTAAGTTGTATGCGATAATACCATTAGAATATCCAAGATATGTAATATTATCAATCACTTCATAGGCAACCATTTGTAGTCTAGTTCTGGTTAAACCGTCAATAAAATAATAAAGAAAAAAAGACTCTTAAGTCATCAGATTTTAATGGGTAAAATCATGGCTTGATTTTACAAAGGAGACTTTAGAAAATCAGTCTTTAGAAAGTTAATTTTTAGAGCAGAAATTCTACTAGAAATAAAAATCTTCAAACTACAGCTTTTTTTTTTTTAATCTGTCAACAAACACTTTATACCCATTTTTAAACTGAGAACATAGTTGACACATTAACCTGCTGTCAGTAGAGTACTGGTTTATTTCCCCTATCAGTGGTATGAGACGTGAGCTCTTTTAAGTATATCCACCTCATTTACAGTGAAGTCTGCAGCCACAGATAAAAATGAAGCTAAAAACAAAGGGGAGAAACCCAAGTCTACAGCCAAATAAGTCAGTATGTCTACATACTAGATATCTGTAAATGTCTTTAGTCTAAATATACCTACAATAGTTTGCAATAAACACACAAATGTAAAGTAAATATTTTGTAAAACTAATGAATGACTATATGAAATATATGTATCCGGAGTCAGACACTTCAGTCAAAAGTTTACATGAATTATCCAAATATTTGATTAGAGCACAATTCCTATTTAAATAAAAATCTAGGGGATAAAAGTACATAACACTTTACAAACCAAAATAGAAGAGACAAGGAAAAGTCCAGAATTTTTAAGTCAATCAAAATGAATACCTGAACTTTTAGAAACCAAAATTAAACAGTACTACTGTTTTCCAGTGAGACCATAAAATGGCAAGAGGGTTATTAAAGAAAAATTTTATTAATATTTTTCTTCATTCTAATTGTACTGGAAATCTGAAATTTCAAACAAGAATTTGATGTTTCAGAAAAGGAATTAAAGATACTATGAAATCTATAAAATGTGCTGTGTTTATACAATTATTTGCTATACTTAAGCTTTTCTCTTTAGGACTAGTAAAAAAAAAGGATAGCTTCATTTTTAAAAGCAGTTTAAAATATGAAGAAAATACTAAGTCAATTATTGAAAGAATAAGCAAAAATCACAGGAGATACAAAAGCAAGGTGACTCAAACATCTCACAAATTCTACTCCTTGAATCCCAACATTCTCCTTACACTTTATTTTGAAGTTTAATACATTCCCAACATTGTTAATCACGTAACGATTTTATTATAATTTTCCATACCTGTGCTTTATGTAATTACATGTACTGCTTAGAGTCAGATCCTTGATACAATTAAACAGCAAACAGCACACAAATAACACACACCTGTAATGGCATCGGGTCATCCGTAATAAAGGAAATTTTGAAGTTACTGCAGATCAGCTTTCCCCACAGATCGTACTGACTTGTGTCCGTTGCAATGCATTTTCTCACAAAATTGACTTCATTTACGACAATTTCTCCTTTTTAAAAAAGAAAAATATTGTGTGAGCTACAATTATACCATAAAATGTCTACAGTCACCGTGTGGCCTACGAGGACTACTTCATGATGACAAGAGTTAAGAATAAACCCTGGAGGCCCACCAGGTGCCAGGCACCACAGGTGCTTTCATCCTCACAACACTGGCAAGGCGCTTCCCACAGAAACTGAGGCACGAATCGCTGAGGGGTCTGAAATGGTTCAACCAGAAAGGCTGAAACCGAGTCTGCATTGTTTTGTGATACTGCCTCTCCTTATCTTTTACTGAAAGGCATTCTGGAGAAGAGAGAAACTACTCTCTCTTCTTCAGAGTACTGCTTGATGGGATATTTGTGTTTTATTAACATGTGACTTGACATCCCAAACCAATGTCTTTGATTACTAAGTGATGAGAAACAGAGTTTGGGTTTAACCTCAAAATGAATAATACAATCTATTATTGGTAAATAGGGTTCAGGTGGTGAGCTAGGAAGACCCTGCACGCATCTCCTCTCGTGGACATACTGAGTCTATAGCTACATACAGACAATTTCCTCTTAAAAAAAAAAAAACCCCTTAAGGCTAGCTGAGTGATGGCTACACACTGGGCAAATGAGAACTAAACCATATGCAAGCAGGTAGGAGAGGCTGGGACATAATCTCACTATAAACCCCATCTCTGCATGGTGACCCACAACCAGGATGCAACTCAAAACCCAAAGGAGTGAAGGCTTCAAATGCTACATAAGGCATCCCAAGTTTTAACACATACCTTGAGAGACAAGCCCTCAAAACATGGAACTTTGAAAACCAGTGAGGCTTGTGTCCCAAGACCCTACAGATCTGAGAAACTGCTCTTAAAAGGCTCAGACACTTGGACTCACACACCCGGGGGCCCAGGTCAGAGGCAGCGATGGTGCCCAGACTTAAAAGTGAAAGAGGCTTACCTGCGTATATTAAATCACTGGCCTGAAGGGCAGGTGTGTTATTTAACACATGTATCTAGGAGCCTGTTGGAACACTCTCTGGGGACAGAGACTAGTGGATACCACATTCACATACTCCCTCTGCTGTGCTCCAGAGCACCAGGATCTCTCAGAAGGGAGCTTTTACATACATCTATTACCCTGATTTTGTGGCTGACAACTAGGGAGCACCTCTTGATCACCTGGCTCTGAAGGCGAGGGGAGCTTATGTTCTTTGTCCCATGGGACTGTAATAATCATGTCACCCAGAAAGGAGCTCATACCCCTGCCTGGAGATCTGATTTTTGTGCCTGCTGACAGGGGACATCTCTCCATCATGTGGCTCTGGGAGGAGACTTTCACTTATAAGTCCCACAGGACTGTAACCACCAACGAAAGAGTTCTTAAACAGCTACCACCCCCAGGGTACAGCAAGAGGCAACAGACCCAGGAGCACAGTCTTTCTGTGAAGGAGGACCATTAGCGAAACATCACAATCGTGGCCTGAGGGGCAAGTTTCTAATGACACACACATCTAGGGTCTGACTGTAATCCTTTCTAGAAACCTCGGAGGGTGTGTGCTGTCTTTGTGCTCATCTCTGCAGCACTCCAGGGCATCAGGGTCCTTACCTTAGCTTTTGCTTGTCTGGAAAATTTTTTATTTCCTCTTCACTTCTGAATGATAATTTCGCTGTGTAGAGGGTTCTTGGTTGAAAGCTTTTTCTTTCAGCACTTTGAATATATAGTGTCACCCTCTCCTGGCCTGTGTAGTTTCTGCTGAAAGGTCTGTTGATAGCCTTGTGGGGCTTCCTTGTCTGTAATAAGTTGGCCAGGGGGAGCTTATGTTCTTTGTCTTACGTGCCTCTCGTGTCCTGGCTTTTATGCCTGGAGTCCTAGTTTTTGCACTGCTGCCCAGGGGACACCCCTTGATCATCTGGCTCTAGTGGCCCCCAGGGGGGTTTGCATCCTGGATCCCATGACCCTATGACAATGAGAGTGATGGTTCTTGTCAGGCAACCACCCCTAAGGTGCTGCATAGACAGGAGACAGGCACCACCACCCCCGACCCTCTCCCCAGTCTTTCCAAAGGAGGCCTCTCTGCTCGCGCTAGAACAGGCTTCAGGTTTGGCATACATTTAGTGGTCTAGAGAACTGTTGTCAAAGAAAGTGGGCTGTGGAGGCCATCTTGATGTTCTCCCTCTGCCTTCCACCAGCTTACTAGTATCACCTAGAAAAGAGCTCATACACTTGTCTGGAGCACCGATTTTTCTAACTGCTACCCAGGAGACACCTCCAGCTCTCCTGGCTCTCGTGGCCAGTAAGGCTTACACTTGTGGTCCCCCAAGACGATATATATATCTTGCATACCTTAAAAAGTTGATGCCTGAGGGTTTGGCTTGCAGTCAGCTGGAATCTAGGTGCTGAGATCCTCCCCTCTGCAACACTGACTGATTTGGCACATCCCAAACTACTGGGAACTATTAAAAAAATAATAGGCTGACTGGACAAGCAGGATGGTTTGAACAAAGAGCTGGGGGAGGGCTGAACAATAAGGTTCATCTCCTACACAAGGCCCCTCCTTCAAGACTGGGAGAGGTTGTTGTTTCATCTACTACATAGAAACCAACACAGAGAGTAAAGCAAAGTGAATAAACAGAGGAGTATGTTCCAAATGATAGAACAAGATAAAACCTCAGAGAAAAAACTTAAATAGAAATAAGTAATTTACCTGATAAAGAGTTCAAAGTAATGGTGGTAAAGGTGCTCACCGAAAATGAAAACACTAACTCAAAAAGATAAAAGTGCCCTTGTTTATTGCAGCATTATTTACAATAGTTAAGACATGGAAGCAACATAAGTATCCATCAATAGACAAATGGATAAGGAAAATGTGATACACACACACACACACACACACACACACACACACACACACACAATGGAATATTACACAGCCATAAAAAGGATGAGATCATGCCATTTGAGACAACATGGATGGGCCTAGAAGGTATCATGCTAACTAAAATAAGTCAGATTGAGAAAGACAAATACCATATGATTCCACTCATAAGTATCATCTAAAAAAATAGATAGACAAAAGTTAAAAACAGAACCATAAATATAGAGAGCAAACTGATGGCTGCCAGAGGGGAAGAAAGTGGGTGGTTGGGCAAAGGAGCAGGAGATACAGGGCTCCAGTTATGGAATGAGTAACTTACAGGAATAAAAAGCAGAACATAAGGAATACATCGTTGATATTGTAATAGGACAGATGGTAGTTACACTTGTGAGCAAAGCATAATGTGTAAAGCTGCCAAATCACTAAGTTGTATACCTGCAACTATGTAACACTGTGTGTCAAGCCCAATGAGTTTTCTTGAACTTTTTGAAGGAGGCAGTTTTCAGGATAGTTTTTCTGACTTCACAGATTTTAAAAACTGCATTTAAATTAAAAAAAAAAAAGATGCTCACAGAACTGGGAAGAAAAAAATGCATGAACACAATGAGAACTTCAACAAAAAGATGGAAGATGTAAGAAGATACTGAACAGAAGTCACAGGGTTGTCGAATACAATAACTGAACCAAAAATGCCCCAGGGGGGTTCAACAACAGACTAGATGAAAAAAAAGAATCAGTCAACTTCAAGACAAGGCAATAGAACCCAGCCAAATAAGAATAGCAAAAAGAAAAAAAGAATGGAAAATGTGAGGATAGCTGAAAGGACTTACTGGACAACATCAAATGAACTAACGTTTGCATCATAGGGCTCCCAGAAGTAGGGAAAGGGGGAGAAATCTTATTGGAAGAAATAATTGCTGAAAACTTCCTTAACCTGGGGAAGGAAACAAACATCCAGATCCAGGAAGCTCAGAAAGTTCCCAACAAGCGGAACCCAAAGAGATGCACACCAAGACACACTGTAATTAAAATGTTAAAAGTTAAAGACAAGGAGAGAATATTAAAAGTGGAAAGAGAAAAACAACTTATTACAGACAAGGAAGCCCCACAAGGCTATCATTAGACCTTTCAGCAGAAACTGCACAGGCCAGGAGAGGGTGACACTATATATTCAAAGTGCTTAAAGAAAAAACCTTTCAACCAAGGATCCTCTACACAGCAAAATTACCATTCAGAAGTGAAGAGGAAATAAAAAATTTTCCAGACAAGCAAAAGCTAAAGAAGTTTATCACCACTAAATTGGTTTTACAAGAAATGTTAAAAAGACTTCTTTACACTGAAAAGAAAGGGCACTAATGAATAACAAGAACACATATGGAAGACTACATCTCACTGGAAAGATAAACATATAGTAAAGGTAGTGGATTAATTACGTTTAAAGCTATTAAGAAGGTTAAAAGACAAAAGAAATTACCTAAAACTACAATATTTGGTTACAGGATACAGAAGATAAAAAGATGTAAAATGTGACATCAAAAACTATAAAGTGTGGGTGGGAAGAGTAATAATCTTGAGCTTACAATGGGATAAAACTTAAATTGTTATCAACTTAAAATAGACTGTAACAGGTAGAAGTTGTTATATGCAAGCCTCAAGGTTGCAAAACAAAGCAAAAACCTATCGTATATACGGAAAAGATAAAGAGAAAAGAATATAAGCATACCACTAGAGAAAGCCATCAAACCACAAAGGAAGAGAGCAATGGAAGAAAGGAACAGAGAGGAACTACAAAAACTGCCAGAAAACAAGTAATAAAATGGCAGTAAGCACAAACCTCTCAATAATTACTTTAAATGTAAATGGACTAAATGTTCTAATCAAAAGATACAGAGTGGGTGAATGGATAAAAAAACAAGACCCATCTATATGCTACCTCTAAGAGACTCGCTTTAGATGTATGGACACACAGACTGAAAAAGAAGGATGGAACAAGAGATCTTCCATGCAAATGGAAACCAAAGCTGGAGTATCTATACTTACATCAGACAAAATAGACTTTAAAACAAAGACTGTGATAACCGACAAAAAAGGGTGCTACATAATGGTAAAAGGGTTGACCCAACGAGAAGATGTAACA